AAGCCAACAAGAGCGCGGGGGCCAGCTGGCTGGCCCTGCTGGCCGGGCTGGCGCACCTGGCCGCCGCCGAGAAGGCCTACCACAGCATGACCTTCCTGGGCCAGAAGCTAGGTACCGCTGGGCCGCCGCCCCTCGCGCCTCGGGGGTGGGGGATCCCTCCCCGCGTCCCCCGGGCCCCCGCCCCCCCCCCTCGCTCACGCCTCAGGTCGCTGCTGCAGGGCGCAGGGCGCCCGTGCCTGCTCACGGCCTGCCCCGGGTTTAGCTCCGCGGGTGTCGGCAGCGCGGTAGGGAAGGGGTGGCAGCCGTAGTCCCGAGGTAACCGGTCAGCCGGTAATTGCACGGTGTCCGAGGGCCCTGGCCTCGGCGAGGTGCGTGTCTGGGCGTCTGAAGCGCCAAGTGCTGGGTCAGCAAGTGTCCCTGAGCCCAGTGAGGCATCGGCTGTGCCATTTGGGCTGCCCCTGAAGAATAAATGAGAGCACAGGTGGCACAGTGCTGTGCGAATCTGCGTGTCTATTGGCTGGTAGACTGACTACTTGCCGTTCCTAAGATTTAGCCAGAGGTGTTTCTTTGCTGGGATGCTCTGGCTGAGATTCTGGCAAAGGTGAGCTCAGTGGTGTTACCAAAGGGTTAAAGTTTTTTCCCGTCACGGTTCCAGGGCCTAATATTAGAGCTGCATCTGTGTAAATACCTAGGGCTGAAGATAGCCTCTAAAAAATTGCTTTTCATATAGACTCTGCAGGATCTCAGGAAGTTTTGGCCGTAGTCTTGGCTGCTTCTCATTCTCTCAGTATGTGAATAGAAAAATCCCAAACTGGCACAGGACAAGGTGTCATCGTGCAGCCCTCTGGGCAAAGCTGCTTGTTTTCTCTTTGAACTGCAGCCTGGCATGGAAAGTGGATCAAGGGATATGAGTCTGATGTGTAATGCAGTAAAGCATCAAGAAAATTCTCCTTCGGTGTTTGGTGACTTGGAATTATTTTATAAGATCTTTGCAGACACAACTATCTGTAAGGCTGACTTTAAAAAGTGAATTTGGTGCTTGCAGAGAGGATAAAACTGACGACAGAAGGGACAAAGTTTGGTTTGTTTATGTACTTAATGAACAGCAATAGATGGTTGTTCATCCTGCCTGTGACCTGGGGCAACTCTCAGTTTAGGAAGGTAGCTCTTTCACTGTGATAACCAATTCTCTGCCTTTCTATCTCAGATTATGAAAGTTGCTGTTGAACATTATATGTGTAAATGGATGTGAAAAGGACTAATGACCTTCACAAAATTTATAAGCCATTTCAAAGTGGAACCTAAATTTGCAATTTCTTTAAAAGTTCTGCAGATTTAGTCCCTGTGATCCTTGCTCTGCTGCAGCTGTTGAGTGCCATAGCAGCACATAAAGCCATCTGTAAATAGAAATTGTGAGATAAGGTTAGTACGCTTGTACAGTCTTTTGGTAGCATCAGAGTTAAATATCTTTGTCTCTCTACTTCTGTCTTTTTTTTAATTTTTAAATTCCTCATAGCATTGAGCAGGTAGAGAGAAGCACAGACTTCTTCACCCCCTGCCCCGTTTTAGTGATGGATTAACCTGCACTGTGGTCTCATTGAGATAAGCTGTGATTGTTTTCCCTTTGAATTCTGGATTCTATTAAGATTGTGTAGGGACTGGAAACATTTGAATTGTACATACAAATGTCCCATGGGTCCTATTGAAAGGTTGCTTTGCAAATTTGGGTACTTCATGATTCAAAAGGTATTGTTAGGGGAATTCTCTTGAAAAGATTGAGAGTGATTAATATGAGTCTATTAAAATTTCACGATGACTTGATTCTTCTGACTTCCGCAGATAACAGTATTTCCAGGTCACGTATCATTGTAGCAAATTTAACTGAACTCTTGTTTTCTGAAAGGTCACGCCATAACTGAGGCAGATGTGAGGGAGTTGAAGCTTTGCAGCAGTCATTGGCTGCTGAGATACGAATTGGGACAAGTGTAACTTGCATGGAATTACATAAAGTGCTTCTGAGTATATGCTATGTGTAATGCAGTTATGTGCAAAAGAATACACTGAAATGTGTTTCTTGATTAAAAAAAATAATACTGTGGTCAAACAATACTTAAGAGCACCTAGGGGAAGACAAGTGTGGCTATATACAATTTTTCAGTATTGCTGTCTATCTTTGCTGTCCCTGGAATTTGGTAATACCTCCATATTTATCTGAACAGGTGGTCAGTCATTCTTCAGCCGAAAGGACTCCATCCGAACCATCTACACATCTCTGCATAATGAGCTGAAGAAGGTGGTGGCGACGGGTCGCAATGCACTAGGAGGAACAGCTCCTCACTTGGAAGAGCTGCTTTCTCACCTGTCTGAACAGCTCTGTTTTTTTGTTCAGGCTCGGATGGAAATTGCTGACTTCTATGAAAAAATGTACACGCTCAGCACCCAAAAGTTCATTAACTCTGAGGAACTGGTAAACATTTTGGAATCCATCTTAAAGAAATACAGCTCAAGGTTAGTGCTTATTTCCTGGAAGTAAGTACTCAGACATGTGATCTGTAATAAATTATGTTGAGGTTCAAAGCAAGCTGAAAGACTTTGCTGTCCTTTGACTGCTGAGCAGCAGAGCCCTTTGCATGAACTCATGCATGAAGTGAATGTTGGTCAGCAGCACCAGATGCATGAAGTCTCAAAATATGACTTTCTGAAGAAGGAAAATAAAAAAGGGAGAATGTTTCTACTCATCATGCTCTGGGAGACATTTTCCCTATTCCTTAATACTCTGCATGTTTATATTCAGCAGAGAGAAAGAGTAATTTTCCTTATAAAGGATGTAAGAGTTCTTGTGCTTTTTCATTGGGAGTGGAGGGGCAATAAGACAAATTCCATATGGACTTCAATATAATTGATATGTAAATAAAACAGCTATTTGTGTGACAATTTTACTTTTAAGCTAGAATATATGTCTACTTAATTCTAAAAGCTACTCCATTGCTATTTTGTCTACCTAGGAGGGTTTTGTGGTGCTCTGTTATCACTTATTTTGAGAGGTATTGGAGCCAGTAGAAGGAGCACCTCAGAGTCTTTGGTTCCTGCCATTATGGTTCCTTGAAGTTAAGGCCTAATAGAATACCAAGAGTCCCAGCAGGTTTCTAAATGACCCTGAAGTGGTAATTTCACATGTAACATGTATGAGCCTTGAAAGTGGTGGCAGATTAAAAAAGAGAATTTTTTAATGCTTGTTAACAGACTCAAATTCTAGCGCTTTATTTTAAAGCAAAACAAGGCAGCCATTGTGGGAAATTAGCTTTCAAATGTCCCTGAATTTTTACAAATCTTTGTTAGTGAAATAGTATCTAAGACGACATTTGGGGAGAATATTCTGAGGTCTTATTTTTTTCAGTTACAATTTTTAAAGTGTACACCTAGGAAAAATCAAAATAATTCAGTGCTGCTTTCTGACATTTCAGATCAAAGCACTGCAGCTGACTCCCTTATTTTTTGTAGGAAT